CTATCCTGCTTCAGACTAAGGTTCCATCTACTACAGAGGTTTTACATGCTGTAGATCAAAGCGGTGGTGCTCAGCACTTCCTCCTCAGCTCATAAACTAGCGCAACATACAATATGGTGGGGAGACCCCAGCATGAGCTGTTCTCAGGGCCCTACTGACCATGTGTGTGCACATCACGCACCCAGACAACAAAGGCACCTAACAACTGAGGGTGTCCGGACAACACTAGTGAGGTCCCTGAAGCACACCAATGATCACAAAGTGGGGGTGGAGCAGCCTGAAGACATTGCCACCTGCACTGCAGACCCAGACTCCATCCAAAGGAGGAAGTGCACCAATACCTAAAGAAGTCCAAAGTACTCAAATGACCTTCACCCTTGGCTTCCCATCAAGCCACTTGTTTCAAGCCACTGCAGACTGAACCAATATGGGCAGCTTTCCCCTGGGTGTCTATCTGAAGATAATCATATGCCCTGGGAGAGCTGTTCTGAGCTTTGCACGCTCATCAGTATATAACCTTATCATTGCATGGTGACAGCAATTATAAAATGTTACATCCAATATTCTTCAGAGGAGATGATTAAATACTCTTGACAACTGGTTCTGGTGGAATGCCTATCTATATGGTTTTTCAATGCGTATGTTAACTTGCTTGCCTTGATACCCACCTTGAGCAGTCAGAACTGGAAAGCAGATAAGTGAAAAGAGCTAAGAGGTCTTACCTTGCGAAAAAAACAAAACAAAACAGCCAGAAGCAGACTTCAGGGAACAGTGAAAACAGAAGAAGCATAAACAATATTTGCCTACTAATACTCTCCCACAACATCTAACTGCTTTCAGCTCCTGAAACTCTTCTGCTTTGCCTATCTAGTAATTGCTCTCACTTCCAGGTAGTTGTGCAGTTTTTGAACCTGTGTAAATCTCTTGCATCCATAATGTCCCTCAGCAGTCTCACAGGCCTATTACCCATTGCACAAAGAACCACAAACTTATGTTTGTTTTGAACATTACTCACATTACTTCATCTGATGCCTCCTACCTCTTGCATCAGAGGCCTCATAGCCTATCAACTCTCCCTATTGACATCTGTGATTTTGTAGATCTTTATCACCAGTCCTGTAAGTCATCTCATTTCTAAACTCCAAACACAAGGAAGCTGTTTGATACTTTTAATGATCCTGGATTGCCTTCTCTGAACTTTTTCTACTTCTCATCCTCTAATCTCAAACAGGATATGTCACAATTGCATGTAGTTTTCAGTATGCGGACAAATTCTGGATTTATACTGTGTTACCAAAATTGTCTTCTCTCTTCTGTTCCCTGTTCCTTTCCTAATCATTCCAAATGTTTCCTTTCCTTTTTTGGCTGCTGCTGAAGAGTGAGATGGTTTCATTGAACTATCTGTTATAATCTTCAGATCTCGATCCCAAGCTGTAACACCCAGCACAGAGCCCATCCTTTCACATGTAAAACGGGCTTTTTTCCTCACGCGCATCACTTTGTATTTAACAATAATGTTTTGTTTGTTTTTTTGTTTGTTTTAACATTTCATATAGGAATATCTCAAATGGTACAGGCTCTGGCACAGATTCCTGTGGAACTCCACCGGTGAAACTGCTCTGTTTCCTCTACCCTTTTGTTTCCTCTTTTAACCTCTGTTTCCTTTTTCCATGTAGCATTTTTTTAATATGGGACTACCACAAGACATTTCACTGAAGTTTATTACAAAATCAATCAAAACCACCCCCTGCACTTCACACAAACATGGAGATAGATTGATTCAGAGCAGTGAGTGGGTAGAAGATTTCCTGGATTATGAATTATATAGTAAGAGTATCCAAACTAGAACTACTTATAAAATGCCTGGGATTCTAACTTACAGGCGTGTCCTACTGTTTAAAATTATCCCCAAAGCTAGCTTCTGTGTGTACTTATCATGTAATGCTCGAGTAAAAAAGCCTGCAAGATCTAAAAATGATTTTGGACCACTAACCAGAGCAACAAACTCTTCTGCCATATGAACACAAGTCCAGAAGGTGCAAAATAATTCAACTTAGCTCACCTTAACGGAGGCTAGAAGTTCCCAGTGCCTTCCAGTGATTTTTTTTTTGTCTTACAGTTGCATGAGATAAGCAGGAGTTTCTGCATTTTTAGGTTGCATAACAGGGATTTTTGGTGATTGTGGGTTTTAGGGGTTAGTTTATAGGGTAAGCACTATCACTTCCACGGTTATCCTATTTTTCCCGTGCTGCTCTATTACTTCATAATATCTGCAACAATGAGGCCAGGGACCAACCAAAAAAAGAAAAAGCCCCAACAAATCCATAGATCTCATTCACTACCAAGACCTGCTTCACAGAAGGATGCAGTGAATGAGATAGGAGTCCACTGGGGAAAAAAAAGATGCTCTTAAAAATTCCACATAATTATGATAATACCTATAAGGGAAGAAATACAATTAAATGAATTGTCCAACTTAAACTACGTAACTCTGCAACTTCAACACCATCTCTAATCTGTGCAAAAAGTTTTAATGTTAACCTTCCAAACCCTACGCTACCATGACCAATTGCTATTAGAATGTTCAAAGTGCTAAACAGGTGATTCAGCTGTTTCAGCTGTGGTTTGCAGCCTGGAATTCTCATATTGATTCCAGCCAGAAAGCTCTCCCTCAACTTATTCTCCTGAGATCTGCTACCACACTCTTTTCTTGTGCAGAAACTTTGTGTTCTTTGTGTCCGGTTTGCTGCAGAAACTTTGTGTTCTTTTTTACATCAGTCAGGAGAATGGCCATTTTTGCAGAACTTGCTTAAACAGAAATACAAAAAAGTAGTTAAAAAGAAGATTCAAGATGTTATGTCTTCCTTTTTCAGCACCCCTGTGCTTTGAGATTCCTTCATTTGTTTGCATAGTTGTAGCACTTATTTTCTCTTAGTTTTATGTTAAGAATATTAAAAATTTGTGCTTTTAACAAAACAAAAGCAATAAACTTTTATTTAATTGACCCTCTACTTGCTTCTTTAGCAGTGCCTGGTTCCAAAACGCAGACAAAATTCATCATTCCAAAAGATTTACTAAGTACCTGTTTGGTTCAGGTTCATAAAGTTCATGAAATCGAGCACAGCTTTCTTATGATCTTCTAAAAATCATAGGAATACACAAAAGCAATATGGCACTGACCCATGCATGACAACTGCTCACTCCTCAAGTAAATGACCATAGCTTTAGACCTAGCAGATGTAAAATCCACAGAAATCAGTGGTAAAAATATTACTGACTTAAATAGGATTCCACTACAGCTTTTGAGGTTACGGTCTTCAAAGGAGTTTCTTGACATTTCAGCACTTCTCAAAAAGAGGCAAGTATTAATTTACAGTTGGCTTACACTTTGGCATGATGAAAACAAACTGTAGTTTTGAGTATGTCAATGCAAAGTGAAAGTGACTATGCAGACTTTAAAGAAGTTGTTTTGTATTGGTAACGCGATCTGGGACAGGGCTTAGTTCACAGAAAAGTTGAGCAGTATGTCAAACGACATACAGCAAAGCAGGAAGAGAATTTGAATTTTAAATTGCACTAAATCTCTCCACTCACTAGACCACACAGCTACTTTCCAAGGAAAATACAGTACACACTCGTAATAACTAAGATAAGTATAGCTGTCCTTATATACATAACCTTCAGACAAAAAATGGCTCAGCACTTTCAAAATAAAATCTTACAATGTAAGTGAATACAAAAAATATCAATAAGAAAGATATGATGTTCATGTTTACCAGAATACATACACAAAATATTAACCTTTCAGTAATAGGCTTGACTAGAAGTATTAATTAGAGACCACAAGAATTCAACTCATAGATTGTGAAATTAAAAAGAGGAATGATAAATATAATTCTGACTTAAGACGGGAAGTAAAACTATCACTAGTTTGATCATGATAGTCCAAAATCTTTCTTGATACTTTGGCAATATTGTCAAAGTCCACAAGAACAAAGGCACAAAGCTCATACCAGTTACTTTAAGGTTACGTGATACAGTAGGAAACTCCCAACTGTTGGTTCTCATTTTTTGCTCTAAAAGACATTCCTCAGTCTTTTCTCATCCTTTCCTTCTCTCATGCAGACATGATGAAAATGGCTGGCAAATCCCCAGAACAGGGTGGTATATTAATAGCCTAAAAAGTGTTTTTACTATTTGGCTACATAAACTGCTTCATCAGCCAACATTCCCAGTCTGCCACAGCAGGAAATGCAGCAGGTGCATGTTCCAGAGCACCCTGTTCTAAGCTGTTTCTTCTTTTTAGTTGTTTTTATTGGTCAGTTTCATGGAGACCTGTTGACTTGCAGCAAATATATGTTTTCCATTAAATCTGGAAATGCTTTCTGCTAAGCAGCAGATTATGATATATAAGGACTTCAGCAATGGTAGAGGTTAACATGATTTTTTTTAATTGAGACTTTGGTGAATGAAATTCCTAACTTATTTTTTTGTAATTTGTTTCAAGTTGCTTTTGAACGCATCTCAACTACATACTCAAATGAGCACAAAAACATACTCAAAATTCCAGCTTTTTACATTGCTTTTATCGGATACAACCAGTGTTTGAATTCCTCAAATAGGAAACAAACAGCAACAAATATTATTTTCTATTAATTTAAATTATGTAATATAGTGTGTTTTACTTTACAGCTGTTTACAGTGTTTACAGCTTATCGTAATTTCAAACAATTTTTAAGAAATATCTTTAAATTAAATGAATCATATTTAAAATATTTTTGTACTGATCTCACAATTGGAAGCCAACACTCCAGTTACGTATGGAGGCTGTACTGCAATGCCCACAAATGGGAAGATTCCAGAAACAAAACACCAGTAAATTAAAGAAACTAATCACTGGCTATTTAGGATTCAGGTAAATAAACTCTTAGGAAATACTTGCTTGTTGAGACCTAGATATCTTATTGTTACCTCTCATCTGCACAGTAAATTTCTCTCACCTGGTGGACTCCCATGCCCTGCTGCAGCTGTAGCAATTGCAAAAGCAGAAGCAGGAGAAACAGAACAGTGGCTGTTTTCAGCAGTTTGTACTGTAAAATGAACAGAGTGAGAAAAGTTAACAACTTAGACATGGTTTTAATTTTTTCAGGCTAAACAACAATGATACTTGAAATCTTTACTAATGTTCCTATTTAGTGAAGATTTTATATTTTCTTTCTCATGAATTCCCTATAAAGAGAAAGAAAAATATCACAATGGTATTTATGATTTGAGATTTTTCTCCAAGTTGGTATAATTAACTCTGCTGTGGAATAAAGTTCTTAACATACTGCCAAGATGAGGAACAAGCATTAATCAAATAGAGTGAGAAAACAATGACAAACTACTGAAAAAAAATGTGCAGAATATTAACCTATGCAAACTTTAGTGATGACAAGATTTACAAATTTTCCTAGGTGCTGCCTAGGAAGAGTACAGCTTTGCAATATTTACCAAACTTTCCCTATGGGGAGGTCTGTGAACATCGCTTCTGACTAGTTCTCAGATGATCTGGCATTGTTCCCCTGGCTTCCAAACTCCACATCTTGCCATCTCACTATAAGCATGCCCAATAACAGAAGACTACTAGTGGTTTAAAATTAAAGTATTTCAGTAACTTATTAAGGCTTGGGAAGACTCTGCTCTGTTTTTGTTGTTATAATCCCAGCCCTGAAATAATTGGCTTGAAATTTGGCTTGCATGAGATGACAGCATTTTAAACATTCACGGACATAGCTCACAGCTCTGTTAGTGATTTCAAGGAGCCATGTGAGAGCTATTCGAGGAGATCTAGCTCTCACTTTTCCTCTTCAATTGAGTAATTTATTCAAATTCTGGAACGCATAATATGACACCATCTGTAAATGTTCAATGCCACACAAAGAAACAGACAAAGTCACTCCCCATTGACAATAACGACTGTTGCGTATTTCATGATTACATATGGTGCCCAAAAATATGTCCCATTGGTAGCTGAAAAAATCTATCAAAGTATTGAGAATTTTGTAAGAATAGAACTGATTCAGTGTTAGTCTTGAACTAGGGTACATCTTGTTCCAGCTATTAAAGAGCATTTCAGTACACCCAAACTCCGCAAATGCGTCCAAGTCTCATTATTACTATACTAATTAATGGAGTAACATTATTCACATTCTCATGGCTTTTTTATTTCCAAAAAATAAGCAAAATACAAGTAAAACACACTATTCAGAGATTATTCTCTTTTAATATCCTGCAAAGATTACAACTGCAATATTTAATCTCTTTAAAGTGACTGACAAAGATGAGAAACATCAGTATCTTACCTCCTGATTGACGGTAGCGGAGATGACGTGGTGTTGAAGGGGATCTACATGGGGAAAGCTCTGGGGTATCCACTGCTGAGGTGCTCTCAGGAATTGTCCTGTCCACTGACACAGATTCTAAGACTGCTGCTTTAAAAGAGTATGAACGTTAATACTGGGGTGATTATTCATAATTTACAACTCATTAAAAAGTATAAATATTATTTCAAATCATATTCAAATAATGAGATCATGGATATGCAATCTTAACATAGATATGTGACGTAAAGATGTGAAGTTGTATTTTTCTAGTCTTTTCACCAAAAGGCTCTTTTTTAAAGCACAGCGCAGCCAGACTAGCTCATCTTAGATATGAACATGAAGTGGCTCTGCAGAGAATATAGAGTAAGCTGGTGATTCAGGACTCTAAGTTTATGAACAGCAATTTGCAAGTGATAAACTTCAAATGAAGCTGTACTGTACTGCAGTAATAAGAACAGCGTGTATGTTAAAAAAGGCTTCAAAGGTATTGTTTAAAAAATGCTCATTAACAGCACTTTATCACAGTGTTTCTACACCAAACTTAATACCTTTGCATACCATTGAACATCTAAAATCATTTACATTTAATCTGTTTCTTATAGTTTTTTTGTAAATGATACTGCTCTTGGAAACGGCCATATCTTTTGCATTAACATGACTCAGCAATAACTATCCTCTGGATATAAAGGACTGGGAAAGTTTTGCATCAATGATGTAACCACACAAAAGCTCATAAATAAAATACTTGATGTAAACCAGTAAGTTGTCAGTTTTAAAAATAGCTTGGTTATGACTGCACCTGAAGTTAACAGAATATGTAGCGGAATGCATATGTAATATGGACACCTGAATTCACAGGTTTCCTATGAGAACTTGGAGGAAAAAAAAATTCCTTGTTGAATGACAATGTATAGTTACAAAACCTTCCGATAAAACTGCCAAGCAACAGTGGAGAGCGGATTACTCCATGAGGAGCACTTCTAAAGGAATGGTCATAAGTACAAATTAGCAGAAAGACCACTTCCCAAATGAGGAAAAACAAACCTTTTCAGAAAGCTGATAAAATATTCTACATTGACAGATACCAATGGTTGTAGCATTAAAAAAAAAGTATATATATAAAAAAATAAATTGTCTGCAAGAACCTGCAGAAGTACGGGGGAAAGAACATTGGAAGTAGAGACAGGAGGAGGAAATTCCTTTCCAGAACATAAATGGCCCATATTCAAGAAGAACTGCAAACAACCATAGCCACATGTCCTCAGAAACTGACTTCATACAGTCATATAGGATTTAGACTAAGCCACCTTTTTTTTTTTCCCTTGGAAATCTGGCAAGAGCAGACCAACAATATTAAATCAGGTTGTGATTCCTTGTAGGACTGGTTTCCTTACCCAGAAAACTTCAGAAACAAGAGTCCACACTACGTATGATAAGTATAAAAGTATAAATTAGCATTTGATATTTCTCCTAACACCCATTTCCATTCTCCTTGTGAGACTTTTCCTTAATTTACTCCCCTTCCTCAACTATACTATATACAGCCCTCTGACAAAATGAGTTTCCCCTGGAGAACAGAGCTAGCTAGCAGCAAATCCCTCCATGCCAGGATAATTCCCAAAGGGTCTGGAGACACCGCACATGGAGCAATTTAACATTTATGTGAGGTTCTTGCCATTTCCACGTGTTCCTCATGCTGCTGAGATGACACTTCAAGCTCTAATAGACTAGAATGCAAAATCTGAATTCCCCTGCAGCAATGCCCGGTGCTATCACTTGGCCAGAATAACCTATTCTTTACCAGCCTAGTTTACAAGTATGACAAAAAAAAAGTTACATCTAAGATTGCAGTTACCTGTGTATAGCTCATTTTAATGCAAGGTCTATCTTTTGGGACATGCTGTGCAATCACATCGATTTTAGTTAGTTTACACTGGTGTAAAAGAAGAATTTACCCAATTCTACATACTAAATACTATAGTTACATATTTTGAATGAATAGTTATGCAATTCATTTAAAAACATCCAACATACAAAATCTCAACAGAAAATTATGATCTAATATAACCATCAAATAGCATTTTGTTAAAGAATAAAACATGAGCAAGCATATATTCCTGTAATGCTAAGCTGGCTAACTTGTCAGTTTAAAAGATTTCTTGTTAAATATTATACGACATCCTGTAAAGACAATCTTTCTGCATAAGACAACACTAAATGTCCTACTAGGGAATTTATTTCAAATCATCAGCAGAGAGAAGACACAAAGCTTCAATCACATTTTTGTTATTCCACATTTGGTAATATTTTCTCTTCTTCTTTGGTTCTACCAATTTTTGTTGTTACAGAGTTTGTAAGTAACATTGAGCCACATTCTGCTCAGATTTACAGTTCAAATACCTCAGGTTGTACAGGGCCATTTCTCAACAACTATTTTTGAAACAGAGCGGCATTTTTGCATTCCCTCATCTTCTGTTTAAAGTAACAAAAAAAATTAAAATTCGTCTCTATTCCAGTTCAGAAGACGACCTGGACTTGATCCCAACATCCCCAAAGAGCAATGGGAATCAAGTACATGCTTATGTATCCTTTCAGATTACAGCTACTTTCTTGCTTTGGCATCTACATGTACAATGCTTCCATTCTAGATGCCCACAGCAAGGTTTATTTCATTTAACTTTGGCCCTCTAAAAGTAGACTTCTATTCTAAGGTGCTTTACCCAGTCCATAAAAGAAAACAGATGTTTTCACAGGAGTAATTCATTCATTTTAGACATCTAACTTTTGGAATGATACAGTCAGGTGATACGAATGCCACCAATGCACCAAGTACATCACATAAATTATTTGTTTAGCTTTGTGACAAAATCTTTCTGGAAAACTAGCTCCACTATATAAATGCATTAAAGTTTTACACTCCAATTTCTTTTAAACTGAATATTTTACTTCATGCAATAATGGGACAATTCCAAAATCTTTAATCTCTGGAAACGCAAGGAGCATCCCATTGATGATTCTAGTATCTTGGAAGACAGAATATTTCCATCTGCCTTTCTCCTTATTACTCTGCTGCAGCGAAAACAGACAATGCCATTCTGCCATATTGCTATTCCTACTGAAATAGAGATGGGGCAGGAGCAAAGCAGTGGCAACATACAATGCATCACAGCCTCTACTACAACAGAAAGAGAGGACAAAGTATTTGATTTCCCAATACAGCTTATTGTGATCAGGAAAAAAAAGACAGACAAGAGAAACTACTACTTAGCAGGAATCTGATAAAAGTCAGGCTTACATTGGTGACTACTGTATTTGCCAAAAGTATCGGTCAATATTCTGCAGTTATATAATACCTCTTCGAATGCTTCTCCTCAGCTTGTTACAGAGGTCAATGCGAGGATTCTCTAAGCTGTCCTCTATGGAGCCAGGACTTTGCTCAGGGGAGGAGGGCCCTTTGCTAAGGTCCAGCGGTACTTTGCTACCTGTTGGCGGAGGAGAGGTGGCTGGGCTATAGGTGGAGGTAGGACTGCTTGCAACGGAGGAAGTAGAAAGATCAAGGGCACCTATTCTTGAATTCAGTGGTGAAGTCAATGACAATTTTCGTGTTCTGACAGGTGAGGAAGTTCTGGAGAGGGACAACGGAGGAGGAGAAGAAAATTTGCGACAAAGATGTGGTGACTTCCCATCAGTTAGGTAGTCTCCTCTATTGTTTTGACTGGTAGCAAAAAATAATTCCAAAGACCTGAGAGTAAGAAACAAAAAAGCAACATGATAATAATGCCACACAGATTTCAGAGAAAACATTTACAAACATATTTTGTGCATGCAAAACCTGTACGTCACTTAACCCTCAAAGCCAAGGAGGAAAGCTGAGACAGACTCATCTAAAAACTTACAACGTATTTAAAAAAAGAGATTTCTTCTTAGATCATTTATACAATAAAAACAGTACTGATTTAAAACAAACAAACAAGTAAAGTCTAGATAATTCTGTAAGAAATTTATGACAGAAGGAAAAACAGAGCTTACCTGACTGGAATGGAAGTGAAAGGCCTTCTGTATATGTCTGAAAGTTTTTCCAGTACAACTGCTGCAGTAGTAAATATGCGATAGGTATGCAGGAAAGTATTCAGGAAATCAATACTTAGAAATCGCAAGTCTGTTAACCTCTCCAAAAGGCGTTCCACACTTGCATAACGAATCTGGGGTACTTTGCAGGAATTTAATGTTTTGCTGAAGCAGATATCAATGTCATCTCTATGAAGGCGAGCATCAGATCTACAAAAAAATTAAATTTAGAACACTTCATTAAAGAGGAAGAATGATTATAGTCCAGTAGTTACATCATTTCAGCTGCTTCTATCATCACAGAAGAAGGAAACACATGCTGCCTTTCTGTACTTTACCAATACAAGAAAACTCTTAATTTGTAAAGAAATCTACTTCCATTCAATTATAATTTATGTCATAAATTTAATTTTATTGTTGGTAAATAATCCATTTGCTGAAAAACGCAGTTTGGTCAATAAGTTCACAGATTTGATCCAAACCTACAAAATAATTCAAAAGACAAATTCACAAATCTAAAAATCAACTCAAAATCTAAAAAAATATTAACAAAGCCTAAACTTCTTCAGTGAGAAACAGAAGGTAGAAGTGTTCCCTTTTGTCTCTTTCAGGACGATATGGCCTGTAGACCTATAGTTAGAGAAACTCTCTATAGAGTAGTTGTGGATTGTTCACAATTTCTTCTGCTGGGATCTTGCTTTATGTGAAATAAACGAATGGACCACAGCAAGAGACAGTAAAATTAGCCTCTTAGCTAAACTTAAGGCTCGCTTGTAAGTAATATCTGCCTTCAGGCTTCAAGAATTACTTAAAAACCTCTCATGATGTGTTTTTTTCCTAAATTCAGTTTTGCTTAATTTTATCTAGTTAAAAGCTCAGCTTGTAGAAAAATGGAACAGAAACTAAACAAAACATCTTTTAATACTGCCTTTTCTGGACAAAAGATCAGATTTTCTAAAAATACAGAATGAAGACGTTCCACCTACTTCTACACTTCATTAAATTGAAAATAGTTCTTCTTTCTTAAGTTAGGTCCTCAGAAAAGTGTCAACAAATTTGTTTGGTTTATCCAAATACATTCACCTAAAGACACTTGACTTACTAACATATTTTAAAAGTCGATACGTGCTAAAATCAAACAGATGAGTAAAAGCTCTGAAACAGAACACTGAATTTGTGTATGTTCTTAACATCCTATATGGTTTCTTGAGGATTAGGATTTCTTGACTGTGACATTGGGACCTTGCTGTACTCTACATTTTGAAAACTGATGAACGTTCTGTT